AGCCCGATGCGGGACTCGATCCCGGGACTCCAGGATCATGACCTGAGCCGAAGGCAGTCGCTTAACCAACTGAGCCACCCAGGCGCCCCTGAAATACATTTAATTATTCAAAGTGTTGTTTGTATGTTGACTATGATGTTGAAGTTGAAATTGAGCCACTTTAAAGCAGAACTTTTAAATCGATAGAAATATCTGGAGTCAGAATAGTTATACTTCAAAAAATAAAGTTTGGTTTATAAATTGTCCTTTTCAGAAACTTAAACAAATCTAAATCGTATGTCCCTACAGTTTTATTTAAGTGTTTGTTAATTTGCCTCCAAAAAAATGAAAGAAAGAGGGGATAAAGGAAGGGAGAAAAAAAAAAAAAGAAAAGAAGGACAGAAGGAAAGAAAAGGAAAGGGGGAAAAAAAAGAAGCTTTTTTACAAGAACCTAACTTTCTCAGAGTATATAATATCAGGCAGAGCAAGGAAAAAATGTGTAAAAGGTCCATGCAAATCATCTGTGTTGATGAAGGGGTCAGATAGGCTCATAACCCATCTGAGAGTCAGCCACTCTTGTACAAGAGGAATGGTCATGTAGTAATAGACAATATCACTAATGCTGTCAGATCTTCTGGGTTGCAGGAAAAGATTCTTTTTATGTGCAAGTGTCCAAATTTTAATTGTTGGTAACTCCCTGTATTACTAAATAGCTTGTGCCAGACAATGTAACATATTTGCAGGCCTGATTAAACCCATAGCCTGTTACTTCTTCACATTTCATGTGGCGACTACTACTATTGATTAGGCGAGGTGATAAGATAATGGCCTTTCTGAGGATTATTCCAGGGGCCTGTGCATTGATGACAGCAGTCTACTGACAAGGCCAAGTTTTCTTCTAATCTCCAGCCTCTACCAGATTTTGTTACCAAATATCTTATACATATCTTCAAGTTCTCTAGTCTCCTAAGGCCATATCATTCCTATATTTCAAAATAATCATTAGTTGGGTCTTATGCTGTGTGTGTCTGTGCTAAATCCAGTGCCCTTGACAAAGACAGCAAGCTGCCAAGAAACACTAACGATGTCCTGGTCATTGCTCCGTCCTCTTCCTCCCATGTGCTCCTGAATAATCTCTTTTATCTCCTCCAGTCACTTCTTTTTTACCCCAATATGCCCATCCAGCTGGCTTATCTCAGAGCTCCTCAAAAAAGGTACAGTGTTCATCTAAGGCAAGCACTAGGTTGGAGAGATGAACATACTCCTCTGTTGAGTGAGAATAAAGGAGTTACAATGCTAGTTAGGGCAACTAACTGAAATTTTTGACAAGGGCTTTCAAAGCCTTGATCGGCTTTGACCAAGCAGAGGACTGATCCATATTACACAGTTAATGATGTATTTCATAACTTTTTTCCATTCTCCCTCAGATACAAATTGCATATGAAGTTGGTGAGAGTATTAATTTGGGGCTTGAAGACAGATCCTTTCAAATTTCCCCCAGTGATTGTTGTTGCTGGATTAATATTTCTGCATCATTTTAATAGAAAAATGATGGGCAATTCACCGTGATTCAGCTTGTTGGCATGCTGAGAGGCATCGCTGCAGGAATGAAGTACCTTTCCGACATGGGCTACGTGCATAGAGACCTTGCTGCCAGAAACATCTTAATCAACAGTAACCTTGTGTGCAAAGTGTCTGACTTTGGACTTTCCAGGGTGCTGGAAGATGATCCTGAGGCAGCCTACACCACGAGGGTAAGATCTAACAGAATGCATTTCTGAAACACATGGGGCACAATAACTCATTTTTTTCCTACAGATACTGAAAACAAAAACTTTGAGTTCAAAGTGAATACAACAATATAAAAATTATTCAGAGCTTTAAATGTAAAAGAGAAAGTTAAAGATTCTCCTATATTAAAAGCAATTAATATTATATATATATGAATATATAAACATGAATAACATTATTGGGTAACTTAAACTCTCTGCACTATAGTGTCTTCATTTGTAAAACAAATACAGAAATATGTAAACCTACCTTTTAAGGGCTCATATGATAGGAAATAAAAGAACTATTCCTTCAAAAAGTTTTGATTTACTGGAGGTATTTTAATGCCTAATTACTTGCCTGACATGCTATATTAACTGTTAAGCCCACATCTATGGAAAATTGGTCACTAACTCATGTTGTCATAATTAGCATAAATCAACATCCTTTTCCAGCAAAATAATTGCTTCCTGAAACGATATGGTATGTATCCGACAATTCTTTCTGTGGAAAACTGTGGGTATTGGTACAGCAGAATTTTCTGAGCAGTCTATGTAGTGTACCTTTTGAGTGTGAATCCCTTATGAGACACTGTATTTGTTTAATTCTAAATCTTTTCAATGTCAAGATAATATGAAGTTAGATATCCTTAATGTTCCAACTCCTTGTGAAGCTAGAAATATTTATTACTGTATCTTTTTCACTATAAGATTTGGTTTACTTTTGTTTCAATACAGAAGAACACTTCTGGCATCTCACATTCTTAAGATAGATATATTCACATTTGCTTATTTAATTCAATTTAAAAAAATGACTTCTACTCATGGTCTAACAAACTTTTCATAGATTATAAGGCTTTTTTGTTTTTGTTTTTTTCAGTGTTGCTTTGTGACTCATGGATGTTTAGGGACTGTACTATACTAAAAATCAAGAGTAACTTATATAAGCAAACAAAGCCTTCTAATGGTTGGCTTAATAAATCAATAAATTAATTGATGGGATATCCCTCTTCTTCTAGACCTAATTATCATTGTCATTATTTGCCTTAAATGAAACCTTAATTAAGAATTCTCTTAGGATTAAAGTTACACTTAATAAACTTAGCCTAAGCAAGAAGGAGGTTATAGAAAAATCCATTCCCAGTATGATTGGTTGATGTCTTAGTTAAATGCATAAAATAGATTTGTCAAGGTCTGTGTCAATGTATCATGCTGGGGAGGGGGGAAAGAAAGGAGAGGGGAGGCAGAGTTCCCGAGACCTTCAAGACTTACTCCTCTGAAACGAGTCATGATAGCAGTTTGTGGGAAATCCTTATACTGAGAGATGAGAAGATAAGGGAACTTCAGATAATTGTGACGTCATATATTGTGGTCAGAGGACCAGAAGAAAAATTCTAGGCTGAAGTCTGAAGTAATCAACAAACTACAATTTTAAGAAAAATAGTGATAATACGTTATAGATATCACAATGACACATAGCCATACCTAATGATGTGAACTTACCTATGAATATTTAATTAACAAAAGTATGTATCAGGAAAGTCTTCTTAAAGTGGTGTTGCCATATGTATAAGGGACAAATAATTTAAACATAGTTTGGATAGTTCAAATTAACCCCAGCTCACAGAGCAACTTCAAGCATTACATCAAACTTTTATTTCCTCATGTCTTGAAACTTTGGTTCATAAAGAGCAACTTAAGTCCCACTTCTTCTAATGTATGAATTAAATTATACCCTCTCTGCAAAATGGGAAGGCATAGGCTAATCTTAATCTTTTTTACAAGAAAATATTCAAAGCCTATGCCTTTCCCCCTTAAATATATTTTTGCCTGTGGATGAAATGTTTGGTTTCCTGGGGTTGCCTGCAGGATATAAAAGTGTTTATTTTGTGAACTAAGAGGAAACCTACCAAACCAATTTTTTTTTTTTTACCACGTAAAAAACTCCAAACTTGATAATATCATAAGTTTTTCCCCCGCAATCTAATTGCCATAATTTTTAATATGGTTAAATTAAATGAGAGACCTATCTCTTAAGTGAAAACAAAAACAGTCTGTAACAGAACAAACACAAAAATATGTTGGCAGAAAATAAGAGAAGTCAAGTCTAAAAGAAATTGCACAGTGACGGGGGAAAATATAACTATATCTGATTTTCACACTTGTCTTATTAACTGTTGAACCTCCCAGGGTTTCATTCAGCAATCAAGACTTCCCATTTATAACTCCTATGTTAAAGAAGGAAAAAAAAAAAAAAAAAAAACGCCCTGGGAATTTGAGTCCTTTACTCTCTGTTAGAGAGTCATGAGTATACCTTATTGATTTGCTGGACTGCCCTCTTTCCCCTCTTCGAGCTGACATCCTGATACTATAATTGAGATGTGGGTCCTGTATGTGTCCCAGTAGTCAAACAGAATTTAAACCAGATTTTCTTCCGGACAGGCAATTAGTAGTCAGTCTACAAGTGCTTACGGGCTGAGATATGTGAAAAGGAGACTGCATGCTGTCAAAGAGATTCACTTAAAAATGCTACATCTCTTTCTAGATCTTTCCAGTGAGGCAGCAATATCCTGAGATTCATTTGAAGTATGTGGGAATTCTTTTATTCTTTTTCAATTTTAGGGAGGCAAAATTCCAATCAGATGGACTGCCCCAGAAGCTATAGCTTTCCGAAAGTTTACCTCTGCCAGTGATGTCTGGAGCTATGGAATCGTGATGTGGGAGGTTGTGTCTTATGGGGAGAGACCCTACTGGGAGATGACCAATCAAGACGTAAGTACGGAACTACTCTCCCTCAAGTTTGGAATGAAATGCTTTGTTCTCTGAGTCAGAACACAGAAAATTTTTTATTTCTCACAATGACAGTTGCCTAAAAAAGTGAAATACTTTGCTTACCCTCTGATCTGTTTGGTTGTTGAAATAGCCTTTATGCAGAAATTCAAAATAAGTTAGTACAAAGGAAAGGAAGTTACTATTACATAAAATCTCAGTCCCTTGCCAGACAGTGTTAGCTGTACTACAGTGACGGTTCACTCATTTTATGTCAGTACCATTTTCAAAGATGAAGAACGAGCCATCAAAGAATGAATACTGACAGCCAAGTTTTTATGATTTGCATTTGATAAAGGCAGCTAATACTCTAAACCGAAAGGATGAATGATATTGATCTAATAGTAGATGCTCTTAGGGGATAAAAAATAATAATCTACATTTCTTTAAATTAAAAAAATGTATGAAGAATTGGATTGTCTCTTTAATTTAGGGAAAAACACAGATTCGTTTTCTTATATAGAAAAATAATTCACACTTAGAATAATAGGATCCTGAAATTAAAGGAACTGTGAAAGAATCTTCTATTCAAGCTCAGAATGTTTATTATGTGATGCCTGACACATGGCTCTTTGGTCTTTGCTTTTGTAGTTTTCCATTGTTAATATTCAATACAGTCCTTCCCATTTTGGATCACATTGAAATTTGATATTTTCCCTTCAGGTAACAACAACAACTATGAAAGCAGCTAACATTTCTTGAACCCTAACTATGTGCCACATACTGTCTTAAGTGTTTTATCAATTACCTCATTACTTCTTTCTAAAACCGGTATATGGAGCAGTCTTAACTCAACAGCATACTGATTTAAAACATTTATTTTTTTCCTCCAATTATTTCTTTCATCCATGCTCTGTAAAATCTCCCACTCCTATGCCTTCAGGGGTTATTAGACAGATACTACAGCTCTTCAGCTGCATTTTGTTGAAACAACAGTTCCATGCCAGTAATTAAGATTCAATTTCAGATATAAAAATTCAAGTCCAGTCTAAATCAAAGTCAATGCCATATCCATTTCAAAGTGGTTCCCACAACTACAGAGCCAGCCTGACCCTCACTACCTAGACTGAGAAGGAAGAATGGTCACGTTTTTGCTCCTCTTCCTCCTCTGTCAAAGTTTGTATCTAGATTTTTCAGAGTTGTCCTTGATGGATATGTAGAAAAGAAAGGGCAAGATTGTTTTTATGTGAGTTTGCTGATGTCTCCTGTGAGTCAGATACCCGAACACTGGTTCTCTAGTGAGGTATGTGTCGGAACTCTTGAGCAGACCCCGGGGAAGACCTTGCTTTGCGGTCACTAGAGGATGAGGATGCACTCAGAGTTCCCAGAGTTCCTCTCACTTGCCACCTTCTCCCAACCTCACGGTCTCTCGCTGTATAGTACACGTGTATATTTCACCCGAGGGAAACTCCTTCTGGTGGGTTGCTCTGCTGTTGTCCCTTCTTTTGGACTATTATTGCAGACTGCTCCAGTCAGCCTGCCTTCGTCAAATTTCTCTGGGTGAGAAACCAGGATCACACTTCAGCTTTTCCAAGAGTTATTTCACAGTGTTCTTCTCTGATAGCAACAGTAAATTTGGCTTAATGCATTCCCACTTCTCAAAAAGCCTACAGCAAGGCAGCCAACCGCCCCTTTTTGTAGTTACCTCAAATTGCTACAATTGGTTTTCTTTGTGTCCCACTCACTTGGCTTTGGGAGGGGTTGCTGACTTATATTTCTCTAAATTTGGGAGAACATAGTATCTATTCTCTTTAACTTTATGATTTTAGGGCTAGGGCTATGGTAAAAAAAAAAAGTATCACTGAACTCTTGTTATATATTTAACAGCTAATCAGAAAGATGCTATTATTATTCCTGTTTTGCAGTTAAGAAACGGAGCTTAGAGAATTTAAATGACTTAAGGTCACAAAAAATAATAAAAGTTACACCAGAAATTTCAACATGATTCTCTAAAATTTGTGTACCAAACTACCACACTGTCTCCGATTGAATCAATGTCTACTTCTTCCCTCTCATTTTCAACCAGTGATCCTAGGTCAGCCTTTTGAAAGAATAGAAAATATCCAACTCAATATATAATGATTACTCTGGATTTTTATAGTCTAAAGGAAGACCACACCTATTTGCTACTTACTATTCTCCAGATAGATGCCAAATACTACCTTGAACTACAGCGTACTTCACAGTTTGGCTTCTAACTTTTCTCAAGGCTTATGTTAATGCCATTCTGTCCTTTAATTTTTGTGGAAGTATTTTATTGTGCCACGCCAGCAAGTTTAGTTTCTTCACTCAAGGAAAATCTTTGTCCCTTATTTGCCTAGTTAACTTCTTCTCAAACTTATGATATTTTGACTTCTCATTCTGTCACTCAGAATTATTAGTCCTTCCCAGCTATGTATCTGACATGTGTCGCATTGTCATCTACATTATTGGCAATTGTACCTGATATAGTTGCAACTGTCACAAATAAAATTATAGACCACAGTAGAACATGATGTTAGGTGAATGCTTATGAGTGTTTCTGTTGATCTTGACTGGGCGTGCTCATGTCCCTGGGGTTGGCTGGTCTCTACTGACACACATTGGCTAATCCATGTGGCCTTCATGTTCCTCTGGAGACCTGCAGACTAGCCTGGATGTGAACTCATCTGTCAAGTGAATGAAGGGCCAGAATGATCCCAATTGTACCTCATTCGGTAACATATCTGCTAAAATCACATTAGCCAATCCCATAATCAGGAGATTGATCCAATCACACGGCCCATAGTGAATGGGCAATATAAAGTTACATGAAGAAGGACATAGAAGCAAGAAGGTACAAAGGATTTGGGACACATATATTTTTCTGATTTCAACCATTTGAGAGTCTTGATATTCCATCAGATAACTTTATTTCAAACTATTTAGAAAAATAAAAGGGAGTGCTGATATAAATTCTCAGGAAATTGTAACAATAAAACCTAGTATTTTGGCTTTGGCTGGGTTGTCCAAGAATCTAGATAAGGTTTACAGGAAATGATTATACAATTGCAGATCTTCCTAAAATGTCTGATTTTAATAAAATGTACAATAAAAGCTATATATTTTCTCAGCAAGTTCACAATCTTTAGTGGGATTTAGTTTCTACATATAGCACTAAGTTTGATATCCTCAATTGCTATCCCAATTTGTATTCAAGAAACATGACAGATCTACTGTATTTGAAAATCATGATCACTGAATATTTCTTTGGAAACAAATTCTCAGAGAGCAAAATAGAAGTACTGATTTGGTGTTTTGAATGATATATCCCATAATCTCTACATTGCAGATACTATCTAATTCTAAAAAGGCTTTGCAACATGAAAATATGACATTACCAAACATGCAGAATATTCTAAATCTCTCAGAGGAGACCTTCCACTATGTCAAGGGGACAGAATGCTGCAGTCGGTTTCTTTTGATTTAGGATTGCTTCTGTCATCACAGAGAAAAAAAAAATAACAACACATAATAAAAATAAACTAGAATGACTAAGATAATTTTAATACCAGACCATAAACTCCGATTCAAGCCTAGGAAGCTAAGATAATATCCTGAAGTCAGTAGAAGCTTCTTTATTTGATAGCAAATATTTTAAATGTCAACATTTTTCTGAACTTAAAATCAAAACCAAAATAAGAAGAGATTTAATTGCATTGCATTTTTATATTTAGTGACAGTGTCTTTCTCTTGTATTTATTGGGAAATGTATGACTATGTAGAATATACTAAGCATGTAGATTACAAAATGTTTTAAAAACTCATTTATCTTTCTCAATCTTCTCATGTTAGAATTATTTTTGTTCTTTTTTTTTTTTTTTTTGACAGTCAGTTTTCTATTACTATTTCTGTTGGCCTAGATCTTACTCTAAGGCAGCAAGAACTTTTGACCCAAAAGGATGTCAACCTACTTTGTACTGGGTGTGCTTCTCATCCTCTTTCTATTCTTTGTTGTAATTTCTGATGGGACAAAAAAAATATCTATATACATCTTTTATTGCTGGACTATTTCATGGTAAAAGAATATTTTATGATAGCACATGGCATGTTATAATTAATTAAAGTATGATGTTTATACCACATAGACAAGAAAATGATACAAATATGTTGTCCCCCTCACCCCCCAAGGAGAGCCAGTTGTTAAATATTTACCAGTACATCACTGAGTATGTGATGCTCCCACACATTCTTCACTTGGAAGACCATGCCTTCACTGAGTGATATGCTGTGTGAGATTCAGTGTTTGTGGATCAAGCATTGTAAAGCTTGTAATGCTGGCTGAAGCTCTGTGAGCAGCAAAAGCAAACTGTACCCAGAATGAGTATATATATCTGAAAGGACGAAACCACTGACCCTGACATGAAAAAACAGCCAAGTAGAGTCAACTTGCCACAAGAGAATAGTGCCATATTGGGTACTCAGTATTGAAGTTTTATGTATTAAGAGAAGCAGCATTCTTAAAATTGTGTTCAGACTGCTAATTTACATGTCAGTGCCAAGAAAATGCATAGTTTAAAATAATATTCAGATCTAGGGACGCCTGGGTAGCTCAGTCTGTTAAGTGTCTCCCTTGGCTCAGGTCATGATCCCAGGGTCCTGGGATCGGGCCCCACATCGGGCTCCTTGCTCAGTGGGGAGCCTGCTTCTCCCTCTGCCTGCCACTCCCCCTGCTTGTGTTCTCTCCCTCTCTCTGTGTGACAAATAAATAAAATCTTTAAAAAAAAATAATACTTCAGTTGTAGCACATATGAACTCGTGCCAAATTGTCTGTAAGACTTCTGGTTGTCTTTTTCTTTTTTCTCTTTCTTCCCTTTGTCTATCTCAACCATCCACATTAACAAACGTAGTAGTAATAAGAAAGTCAATTGAGATTATGATTCATTTGGTTATACATTATAAACTGTATGATAAAATGAATAGCCTAAATTGCACTTTGATAGATTTCAAGCATTTCACAAACTACCAGAGTATGAATGCCATTCATTTCTCTCCCAAACTATGAAGGAAACAGTAGTTAAAAATGAAAAAAAAAATGAATGTGTCTAAATATAAAATCTGAAGCTATAGTTTAAATATACTTGGAAGATAAATTCTAAAGATGAATTTAGAATTAAATTCAATGACCTAATTTCCTGGACCAAGTACTTAAGTTAACTTAGAGACATGGTATTATATTTCTGTATATAAATTTACCTGAAAATAAAACTGATTAAGTAATAATGTCTCAAATCAAATAACTTATGAAATTCCTGTAAAATTAATGACTTGGTTTAATTTATTCATTTCATAGTCACATATGAAGACTAGCTGCTCAGTGGAGGAAAGACAATATTTAAAAAAACATAGGTGCTAAATAAAAAATAGAGCTTATTGGTAGCAGCTTTGGGAAAAAATTCATTTTGAAATAAATCAAGTTTAAAGTAAGTAAAAATCTCTGTTCTCACCGCATAGTGAAATATTTCATGACTTAAACTATATTAGGACATTTTATTTTGGTACATATATGTTATTAAAGATAATAGCCACTGACATCAGCAATAAGAAGTCTTATAATAAGTAAATTAATAGATATCATTTATAATGATTATAATGATTTATTATAAATATTTATTATAAATCATTATAATCATTATAATACGTCCATCAATATGTAAGTTCAAATGATACTTTTTATTTTTTTATTTTTGTTCTTTTATTTGATTACCAATGAGAATAAATGTTTTCTCAAAATTTATTTAGGCTTTTTTTTTTCTTTTGGGAAGTTTTGGTTAGTATCTATTTCTCATGAATCTGTTGTTTTATCATTGTATTTTTCAGTATTTATGAACTTTTTAACATATTAGGTAGGCCAGTCATATATTATAGTTTTCATAATAGTTTCTACCATGGTTTACCTTTTACTTTTTTTATATTTTTTGAGTTAACTAGGGTGGTAGGTGACTCTCAGGAATTTCGCTCATAGTTATCCAGTTATTTATCTGACCATTTATTTTTGGAGTCCTGGAGTACTTTTTATTTCTCTGCCTGAACTTAACTATTTGTACTTCTCAGGAAGTTTTATTTTATGCCCTTCCCAGGGAGATATATACCACATCTGACTTCAAATTGTGACCAAGTGCTGATGACTCTCACCTTTACATTATCATCTCAAATATCCCCGGCACCCGAGCCAGATTCCTGCAAATTGCCATCTGGGTGTTCCCCACTCACCCCAAACAAAACAAGCCCCAAATTATACTTGTCAACATTCTTTACCCCCCATAAATGTGTTAGCCTAAAGTAAAGAGCAACAGCTATCCAGTGTGAGAAGTCTGAACTTGCTTTATTTTGGATACGTTCCCTCCTCTCCCCTCTACCCCTATAACATAAATGTCCCCTAAATCTGCCATTTCATCTTCTTTCCATGTGCCACTGCTTTTCTTCAGATGCCATTTCCTTTATCATTGAAAGACTGGTTTCTTTCCAATCTTTCAAAATTGTTTTTGTAAATTTCTTATTCTAATAACTGTATTTATATTTTTCCATTTGTCAAATCAAATCTAAAGTCTTTGTCAAAAAATGTAATTAGCTTTACCAGTTAAGGAAATATGCACAATAGGATTTTGAGAAATATGTTTATTATTATTGGCTTTAGTATCACTTAAATATTTAAATTTTCTAGAACTGAAACCTGTATTATGTTCAGAAGCATAAATGGATTTCTTCTATAGTTAGACATTTTGATGACAGCAGCAACATTATAAATGTTTTTAATAAAACAATTTCACAATTAGACCAATACTCATATGTGTGGTTTTATTTAAAATCAATGATGTTTGTAATGCTATTTAAGCAGTCATTCCAAATTCCTGACAGAAATCAGTAGGTGATAATAAACAGCCAGACTTTGACATTATTAAATGATACATGAGACAGTTATGCTAATTTAGCCTTTGACTTATCCATCATTTACCATCCAAAATTCTCTTCTGAAGTAAAATTGCAGTTCTATTACTTTAAAAAATGTGTGTCTGCCCATAATTTTTCATTAAAAAGACATTAACTTTTCAGAGAAATCACTAAAAAAATGTAATCCCTATTTGATTCCAGAATGCAAAGATAAATAAAACATGAACATTATTCTTATGTCAATTTTACAAATCACCCTTCATCAAGATTTTATGTAAAAATAATTACCATTTATTTTCTTCATGGTATGTGAAGAAAACCTATCATTTTACATTGTGTTAACGTATTTACTTTTTTATGTTGTTTTGCAGCAAATGGAAGTAATCAGAGATTTTAAAGATAATGATGCTGGTTATTACTGCAAGAGTAAGACTAAGAAAGGATGAACGTTGGATAGTAGGAAATTTCTCAGGCTACTCCGTACTAAATATGTGGTGTTGAGTATGGCTCTGTTCTGCTTTCCACAGGTGATTAAAGCAGTAGAGGAAGGCTACCGTCTGCCAAGCCCCATGGACTGTCCTGCTGCTCTCTATCAGTTAATGCTGGATTGCTGGCAGAAGGACCGAAATAGCAGGCCCAAGTTTGATGAGATCGTCAACATGTTGGATAAGCTGATACGTAACCCAAGTAGCTTGAAGACGCTGGTTAATGCATCCAGCAGGTATGAAGCCAGACTTGAGAGATTTTCCTAATGTAGTTAATTCACATTGATGCCATCAACATTAAACCAATAAAATCATTTTTTTAAGATTTTATTTATTTATTTGAGAGAGAAAGAATGAGACAGAGAGAGCATGAGAGGGAGGAGGGTCAGAGGGAGAAGCAGACTCCCCGCCGAGCGGGGAGCCCGATGCGGGACTCGATCCCAGGACTCCAGG